CAGGCTCCGCCCGGCGCTCCCATGGCGCGGCGGCCCCGCGCCAGGTGAGCAGCGCTGCCTGTTGCGCCGAGCGGAGCGGAGCGGAGCCGCCGGGGCCACACGCCGAGAAGTTTTGCGGGAAGGCGCCGCGATGTGAGTTGCGGCGCCCCGCGGATGCACTGGGTGGGGGGCGGCAGCGCCGGGAGGAAACTTGACGGGGAGGGAGCGGGTGGAAGGCGATCAGCGCTGCTGCCTCCGAGGGGCTGCCGCCGTGCCGTGCCACCTTGCCCGGCAGCGATCGGCGAGGGCCACCGGCGATGCCCCCTCCCCCAGCCCGTGCTGGCGAACCTCCGGTGTCCGTGAGTCCTGGGGGCTGACGGGGTCGGGATTCCGCCGAGGCAGCGGGAGATGGGGAGGGAATCCAGAGGCGGAGGCTCTGGGAAGGGGGCTGACACCCTCTCGTTTGGGAGCAAACGAGGGATTTGAGACCCGCGGCCCCGGATCCCGTACCGGAGCAACATCAGAAAAAGGGGTGGAAAATAAAGCGCCCCTCCCATCCGTGTGTGTTCCCGGGGCGCCCGGGCGCTGCCGTGCCCGGCCGTGTGCGGGCGGGCTGCCGGAGGTCGGTCGCGCTGCTCAGCGTGCGGGCGGCGGCCGGGGAGCCGAGCGGGGCTGCCGGGGAAAGTGGGCGGCGGAGGCGGGGACGGGAGGGAAGACGCCGTGTGTGTTGCCGTAGGATTTTTCCACTTTTGAGACCTATCAGGACCAGTTGCTACGGTTCGGGCGGCGGTGGCCGCGATGCGGGGGGAGGGGGGAAGAGGGCATCTCCCTCGGAACGCGAGCAACAAATGGCAGCGGCGGGCGGCAGCCGGGCTGCAGGACAGCGGCGGTGCCTGCTGCGCCCAGGTGAGCTGCGACGCCCCCGCCGCCCGCGGAGGCACCGGGCGGAACCGTAGCGGGTGGCGCTGGAGCTGCCCCGGGGGGCTGTGACGGGGTGCGGGGTGCCCCCGGCCCGGGACAGGAACGGGGGTTCAGGGGTCCGGCGGCCGCGGGGGTCTCCGTGCCACCCGGCGCTGCGAGCGGGGCACGGTCGCCACCTCGCACAGAAATGTGGTGATCTCTTGCAGCAAGCGGGTACTGGGTACTGTGTGTCTGTGGGAATCGCGGGCTCTTCTCTCGCCTTTCTGGCGAGCTACACGTCCAGAATTTCCCTGGCCAAAAATTTGGAAAATGCCTCAGATGTGCCAGCGAGAATTCTTCTTTCCGTCTTTGCTTCTGCCTTCAAAAATTAGGAGATTTTAGAGTATCAGTTAGAAAATGTAAAAGTGATTGAGGCTGCAGGTTATCGTGCCATCTTTCTGATTGTCCCTAGACAGCAGAAATGGTGTAATTACAGAATGAAAACAGCCGAACAACTTGAAAAGCATAAGTAGACCAACCACCTAAAGAATCGGAATAAGAACTGGGCAAACAACATTTAGTGTTCTCCTGAAAGAAGTAATTCTAGAATTACTTACATAGATATGAAAATGACAGAATAAGCTAAAGCTTTTGAGATTATTGGAATTAACTAAAATATAATAGCCATGAGAAAATGTTACAGGTTTGGTAAGGAAAGGAAAAGAACCCTTCCTCAAGCTGAAAACTCTGACTGGGGTAGCCTTTTCTGAGTGTTGAAAAGACCTGTCAAAAATTTCTTCTTATGGTAACCTGTCTAATAATTTGTAGGTTTAAACTGGAAGGTGTCTGTCACGCCCTACTGACAGCAGTAGCTTGAGCGCTTTGATATAGAGCACCACAGTGTTCATATGGCTTACCTATTGATATTATTCTTAGTAATTTAATTTAAAAGTATAAGCTCCTAGTTTGGCTTAAAGGGAAAGAAAAGAAGCTGTAGAATGAACTAAATTTGCAAAACCTTTGCTACGTTCAGAGTCTAATTTTCTAGTCTAGTTTCTAAATAGTAAAATTGCTCAGAATTAATTATAACTGTGATTGCAGCAGCCCTTACTTGTGCAGGTTGCCTGGATTTCTGTGGGATTACTTCTACAGGTAGTATTCCGATGGCTCAAGATAGCAGGATCAGGCCCATGGTCAGAGAGTTCCAGCATGCAGCACCGTGCACCAATAAGATGATTTGGCCTTTGGCAAGAGAAGAATGTGCTTCCAGCATGCAGCACCGTGTAGGGTTGTGCCCATTGGCACCAATAAGATGATTTGGCCTTTGGCAAGAGAAGAATGTGAGGTTAAGTCTGGATCTCTTGCATTTATTCAGCTCTTGCTGGCTGGGTCACTGAACCCTGATCTTGCCATCCCTGAGGTTTGCTGTAAAATTTGCGCTGACTTCAGTCCAGCCAAAACGAGCTCCTGTGTGATTGTAGTTTCCAGTTGCCTTAGGGCAGGCTGAAGCTGCTGAGTCTCTTGGAGATCAGGGCCTGAGTGAATGAGGATTGTACCTGCAACTATCAAGAATCAATGTGCCTCAAATGTGAGATTAATTGAAAGAGAAGTGTCATTTAATAGGCATATAAGTCTGTGCTCTGGATCCAGTCCTGAGCTAATAAAGTCCATGAGAGCTTTGCTGTATATAAATGGAATAGCAAGACTTAAGGGTACAGGTGTGATTTGTCTTCTCCATGTGCTTTATGGATCTGTATTTCAAATCTTTTGGGAGGCAGGAAATTCTTCCTGCTCACACTGAAACAGCATTAGAGTAACTAGAGTAACAGAGCAAGTGCATGATATGTCAGCTCAAGAAATATCCTCCCAGCAAGAGAACTGGAATTTATAAAATTCAGCTGTATTCAGAAGTGCTAACTCAAGTGTCTAAAGCCAGAGAAAATGTATTGCTTCATTTCAAAAGCACCTTTAGATGCTCAGTTAAATAATAAGGTGCTTCTGAGTCTTGTTTTTAAGGATATTTCCTGTCACTTCACTAGGAATATTTATGTGAGTAGCACAAGGGATACATGGCTCACTGGCAGGAAGATTTTAAACTTTTTAATGAAGTGGATGATTTAAACAAGAAGGAATATGGGTAGAAATATATCTTGTTGCCACTTCAGTTAATCAGAAGATGAACTAAGGAAAGTACTTCCTCTCAGAGTGGAATACTGCATTGGTAATGACTTACAGGATTTGCATGTAACTACTGTCCTTGTTGTCATCTGCATGCCTGGTCCTTGGATCAGCACTCATTAGAGAATGCAAATTAAATTAGTGTTCTGTGGCTAGCAAAATAATGCCCCTAATTTTGCCTCATTCAGTAAGCTTTCTTCATAAGCTTAGAGAAGACTCTTGTGAAGCAATTTAGAAACTTATAATAATGTTAAACAAAACCTTATTTCAAAATTATGTTATTTTGAGCCAAGAATAAATTACTTGAGTTCATAGAATATGTAGCATTTCCCTTGGCTTGTTTGGCCAAGCATTTTTAAATTGATACTTTATTTACTAAAAGTAACCTCCAGAAAGTGCAATTTTGATAGGGCACTTCAGTACTGGTATGAATCAAATGCCAGTATGTCTACTGAAAGTACAAGCAGAAAGGATTTAGGAATTTCTCAGCACCTTCAATAAGTATTTTTAAAGGGATTACAGCCTGTGAATACATGGATGAACAAGGTATATCTTCTAGTCTTAAATCCAGCGTGCTGTGGGTGAAGTAGCATCAAATTTAGAGATGTTTTGGTGAATTTAATCTCTGCTTCTAGTTTCAGTCCAGCTCTTTTCATAAGTAGTTTCTGTGCTTCCGTCATTCTGGCGTGGTTTGTTAGTCTGGATGTACAGCAGACTTGTGGGTGCATCCCAGGGGGAAAAGGAGTGTGATGTGGTATTGGTTTTACTCACTGCTTCATCAGAGCATCAGATAAACAGTTGCTGTGGAACTCACTGTGGAGGAGGATGTCATTAGTTCACAATGCTTAAAGATGCATGATCCTGCTTCATGGGGGTTTCTGTGGGTGACTGGTGCCTGTGTCTGTATTGCACTGATGACCTGCACTGCTTATCCCCATCAGCACCTGTATCCAGGGCTGGCTTTGCTTTACACGCTTAGTTTGAACTTGGAAATGTAATCACAATGCTTACTGTTACCAAACAACAAAATACCTTTTATTCCTCTCCCTGGATATTTAAATGTTCCACTGAGTTCCTTCACCAAGCACATCTTTTTAAAAAACGGGAGTATTTCTGACTGACTTCTGCAATGGACATGGGGAAGTCCTTTCCATAAGGATCATCCCTGCTCCTGAGTTCTGTTTTCCATCAGCAAGGAAAAGGCAACAGTTGCTGAATTTAAATGGTGTTTCTTTCTCTGGAGGGTATGAACTTTTGTAGTGATGGAAAAAAGAGAGGTAGACAAATGGGAACAGATGAGGAAGGCCTGATGCCCACAAAACAGCGGAGAAGTAGATGACAAGAGGGAGAAAGTAGTGGCTGATCTGAGTAGTTTGACTCTTGAAGATGAGGTGATCTGGGCTGTACCATAGCCCTCTGGCTCTGTGCTGTGCCATGGGTTTGTCATAGCCCTGCCATGGGCCTTCAGAAAAGATGTGTTGGTTGATTTCAGTGGGACTAGAAGCCTTGCTGAGGAATTGAATTTGGCTTTTTGTATCTCAGCTCCACTGACAGAAAGGAGATAAAAAATGCCTCTTGAGGAAATGGGACTGGTAAAAAGCCTTTTCAGAGATACATTGATCTGGATAATTGGACTTTTTACTTAAACAGAGATGAAAATTACCACTACAGATCTTGATGTGCTTGATTAAGGTTTACCTCTGCTTTTCAGCTAGCTGGTGTGTGTGTTTGAAATTAATTTGGCACTTCATTAATAGCAGTTTCATAAAGCTGCTAACTTATCCTTTGTGAAGAAGAAAAATGTTAACCTCTGCTTGCCAAATAGTACTATAAAGGTACGCTAATAAGAAAAAATGAAAAGGATGGAAGTGAGTGACAATACATAAATGTGATGCTCCTCTGGCCTGGAAGCAGGAAAGCAAATGGACACTATTTAATTATTTAAGGAACAATAAATGAGAAGTCCAGTTCTCAAGTAACAGTAAAAGGATAGATGAACAGAATTTTAAAATGTTAGGAAAGGGAAACAATGCATAAAGAAAGTAGAAGGTGGACAGGAAGCAACCAAAGGGTGAGGGGATGGACTTAAGATTTCTATGTAGTATTCAGTTGAAAAATATTGCCTCTGTATTGTGGTGCTTGCATAACAGCCAATGTTTACCCAAATTGTGGAAGTATGGCACACAGTGTCCTCCTGGGGGGTCACTTCAAGTTCCCACTTCATCATCTGGATGCACAACCTCAGTTAATAGGGTATGTGCTTTTACAGACAGCGTGTCTTAGGTGTTGGGCTCTGTTAAGGGGCTTCCTTTGTGGATGTTGTTAGTTGCAATGGTGCTGTCATTTACTTCTGTCAAAGTTGCTTCCTCCACCAAACATTGCTTTTAAATGGAGTATTTTTTGCAGTTTACCAAAATTGGGTGATGCACTTCTGCAACTGTAATCACTAAAGATACTTTGTACATAAAGATCATAAGTATTCATCATTTCATTACAAATGTTTGCACTGGGAGTTAGTGGGACACACGAAAAGCATGTGAAGGCTGTTTACCTCATGTAGATTACAAATGTGTATTGTTTTGGCAGAATTTCTTCATGCAAAATATTCTTGTAATGCTTACACAGTATACATGTTTCTGTGCTTGTGAATAATTTGCAGCAAAAGGGTGAAGCCTTTGGATGTGAAAATAAATCCATGGTGCTTGGCATTGTAAAGGCATGGTAATTAAAAGAAAAGGAAAAGCACTGGGTCAACAATGTTGAGTTCCTGCTAGAACTCCCTCACCTTTAAAAGCAGAGACAAATGGTTCTTCCTCTTTAAAAAAGGA